ACATTAGAAGTGCATGATAGGAATAGTAGGGCGATTAATTTACGCCAAAAAGGGGAGATTATTTTTTTTTTTTTTTTAGAAGTATAGAGATAACGCGAGCAAGCATGGGGATAAGCGAAATAAGACACATGCTGTAAGTAGACGGATGCATACGGTGCCATGCAAGAATAATATCTTGAAAATGATCGATGGTTGTAAGCACGAGAAGAGATAGGATACACGGACGAGGTATCCGTGAAATAACACGTTAAATTGCAACTTGGAACACAGCTTTCAACGTATTAATCTTGAACTGGTAACGTATATATATACGTATATATACATATAGCTATATGTGTATATATAAACGATATACAATTATTATAAGCATATAAGAAATATAATTTATATAGCTGTATTCTACGTCATCGGTACATGTAGGACAGGCTTGCGAGTGTTCACATGTGATCATCGTCTCAGCCGGCGTGAGAGTGCTTTAAAATTTAGAGACTGTGTGAGTGAGAGAGATACGATATATATATATATATAATATATATAATATTAAAAGAAAAAAGTATATATAATAATAATAGAGAGAGAGAGAGAGAGAGAGAGAGAGATACCGAAGAGGAGAGAAAAAGAGAGAAAAATACACTATACCTTGTAGTCGACGTTACATATCTTTGCAATTCATTCGTTGGAGAGCATAAAGAAAAATTGTCTGTTAGACGATTCAGCGACGCCCCAGCGAATTATAATATACGTGTCTGTTTAATCGAAAGGAAAAGACCAATCGCGCGATTCGAACAATCCAATCTTAGAAGAGGCGTCGCTGGCCGACTGTGCGATCGATTATCATGGGGATCGATACGGCAGCCACGTGAGATATGAGACGCACAGACGACCCAGACCTGGCCCAAAAAAGTCAGTCTACATATCAGACTCTAGTTAGCAATCAGGTGTCCCCTTCTCAGATTCCAATCAGTTTTTACTTCGAGCAATGAATTTTTGGTGTATTTTTTCCGATTCACGGCTCCGCCTTTTATTCGTCGGTGAGATTGTCTTATCAAAGATAAGATCTCACGTCATAGCAGAACGCGGTGAAAGGAACGAGTCAGTGAATCGGAGTCAGTTTATCGAACAAACAAATCCATCGATCTCTCCTTCCTCGTGAGTCATGAATATGCTCACCTTCTCAACGGTGATTTCGAGTCGATCGGCTCTCGAGGTCGATCATAGTCATCCTCCTCAAGGATCTTCGATTTTTCCTCCTTTCCTTGAAAATCAAGCTACATTTTCCTAGATTTAGAAAATCTTATTCGTATCGCCAGTTACTGCTACTACTCTATTTACCAATGCTACCTAACTGTAACCAGCATTAATACCAGCTACTATTCGTATCGCCCCGTTATCCAACTACCGCGATCAAAATCGTTAATTATCCCACTTCACTTACCGATAATTAGTTTGGTTGAGAAATTTGCAAATTCGAGCCCTCGAAATTTTAATTCGATCTTGATTAAGATTCGAGGACTGTAACGAGAGGCTAGAGATTCTTTCGAAAGGACATAATCATTGATTTCTTTTTTTTTTTTTTTTTTTTTTTTTCTTCTCGAATAGAAGACTTTAGATATATTTTTACACGATACATTGTAATCGTATTTCTTCATCTCATCCCTTTGTTTCTCTTGTCTTGATTTTTGGCATCATTGCCGTGCATCCTTCGATCATGGTGGACTGAGAGAAAATTGTAATATGTTTGCAAGATATTATATCTTTGAAAACGTTAGAAATCATTATTGTGTGTGTTTTTTGATACTTGATAGTTGCTTCGAAATATTAAAGAATCACAAATGTAATGAAAATTTTTCGAGATTTTTAAATACACTTATTATTTTAATTATAGCGGTTGATAATATAAGTAATTAATAATTAACTATCGAGGAATTGAAAAAAAAATTATAATTTTATAAGAAGAGACAATACATTGTAATAAAAATAAAAAGTTAATAAAAGTTAATAAAAATTGTACAATTATATGTACAAAAGTGAGATAGGAAAGTATGTGCTCAAATTGGCATTTAGAATTTTCATACTATAGAACTGATAAAAAATATAGCATTAAAACTTTCATAGAGTGATATTCTAAAAGTAGTAATGTAGTGTCGTTATTATGGCTTCGAAGCTTAATTTTTTTTTTTTTACAAAGCACGTCTAGCTAAAAAAAAAAAAAAAAAAAAAAATAAATTAATAATTATAAAATCTCGAAAAATAAAAATTTTATGATATTAATTATTTCGAAACAACCGTGTAATTACGATTATTATTTCGATTATTAAAAATTTCACAATTATTTTATATTGTTTATCCAGCTTGTATTTTTCGATAATTTTTTTTTTAAATCTTGTATATCTAATATGCATATAATTAACAAATTTTACTGCATGGTATATACAGCTTTCTCTCAGCGTACAGCCCAATATCCATTTCGATATTCATTTTTAAATCTCTCAAAAATCGAAAGTTATTCTGTAGAAGTCGTAAAATTGTATTGTGATAATTGTAAGACATGCAACTGGTGGAAGTTAATCAACATAGATAAAAATTCAGGAAGCAAATTTTTCGAAATATAAATAATTAATTGATCTTATTTGATTAATACAATTATATTCTTCCACCTTGCGAACTGAATTCAGAAGCAATGCTCTCTCATAGCAATCTGTGTTGTTACGTATTAATGTCATTTTACGTAAATTACGATGCGTATTTTTACATAAATTATATGTTGTTGATTAGTCGCTACACGTAGACGAACGAATATTCATCGTGCGACTTCCTTGAGTTATTTTAACTCTTTCGCTGTGAAAAAATATTGAATCGTGTTTATTAAATTGTTCATGAAAGAAATGCGTGCAATTTAATTCTTTAACAATAAAAATTGTGTATGATTATTTATTATTCTAATAATTATTTTTATTCATTTTCATTTTAAAAGATATGTAATTATCGTAATAAACGAAAAATACAGTTATCGAAATTACAATTATCTATAAAAGCGAAAGAGTTAAATGTTATAAAATAAAAAGAACCATCTTATGCAACTTAAAGAAAAGACAGACCGTACATTGAAAAAAAATGTATAGTTTTAAATTTTTCACGATGATTTTCGTTCTATTTTTTCATTTTTCTTTTCTCAGTTGCTCAAAAATTCCCTCTCCACCACTATGGAGAATGTTTCCTGTTAACGTAGTAATTGAAAAATTTGTCGATCGATTCGTTTCTATTTTAGAAGCGAGATAAGATAGCCTGTATACACAAAAAAAAAATAATAATAATAATAACAATAAGTTTTTTCGTTTTGCTTCGGCGAACAATATCTGATTTCTCTGCGGGAGATAAAATCCGCGTTTTACCACGAGCATTGTATACGTACGCGAATTTTTATTGCCGTTTTTATTACGCGCAAAAGTGGTCGATAAACGACGGTTTCCCGCGTAAAATCATCACGTGACTCATTATGTTTTGTGTTACTGTTTTATTACTTCACATGTTCGGTCATGTAAGCGATTGTACATATATATAAAACGTGCACACGCAATTGTAATTTGTCATCAGTGTTAAAACTCGAGTGTCAACTAGGACTGCCGAGCGATGAATTACTCGTTCTGACAGATATATATATATATATACTTTCGGAATATATAATACACGTATTATAACGTATACATATAATATGTATATTATGTATCGTATACAGGGATATGTAGCCCGCACAGTTAACCATGACCAAAAAGTGCCGAAACATTGGCGAAAAGAAAAATCGAGAACGAATGGAATGAAGTTATAAGCAAAAGAGTACCCTATACATATATTATTCCGGATCGTAAAACGCATGGTCAGGATATCGAATCTACGATGATCGTGCGTGCGCAAAGCATCATACATGTATGGGCAGTACTCATGTACGCGTACACGCGCATATACGTATATAACAAGAAAAGAAAAAAAAAAAAAGGAAGAAAAAATACGACAGTTTTCGTACCACTACAGCAGCAGCTGCACCTCTTTTTTGATTCTCACACACGCACTCACACGATCTTGAATCAAACATTCTTTTTTAGCGGTCAGAGAGAGGGATCGCGGATTTACCACCACTCGAATAGAGATTTAATGTTTGTAAGGGCAATAACGATTGTAAATTTTTCGAGTACACTGTATTTGAATGTGTAAGTTGCATAAAAAAGACAGATTTTTTAGATATTGCACTATAATATTTATTATTCTAAGGTAACGAGACGATCGCGATTCGCCGCGCTCGCGATACCTCCTCCCTCCTCTCCCCCACTCCCTCACCTCTTATGGCCTCGATCGCATCGAGAATCGATGCCCGGGATCAATAGCGGCGAACTATCGATCGCTTCCGCGCGAAAATATTCCGTGCGAGATATGGTAATTTCTTCAGTCGCGATCGATGCCTAGTCGCAAGCGCGGCTACATCGCGACGATCATAAATTAATATTACTTAATAAAGAGACAAAGCGAATGCATTGTTCTTTCCAATAAATGAAGAAGCAAGATTTTTAGTGTTTACACTACAATTGATAAACGATTCTATTATTACATAATATTATATTAATAACAATATTATTACTGTAATGTTTGTTTTTGGTTATTAAAGTGTGTATATAGTAATATATTCTAGAAATGGTCTCTCTTGTCAAATCTCTACCTCCCAAAAATTCTTTTCTTATGATAAATTTATAGATAGATTTTTTAAAAAGAAATTTGTATTTTCTTTAATGTAATTTTTCTTGTGTTGTATTTAATATCATATATTTTTTGTTTATGTTATTATTTTTTAAATTAATTATTCTTTTTTTTATTAAAATTTCTACATCATGGAACTCAGCATTATCTTATTTAGTTCATAGTGGTATGCTTTGTAATAATATTGTCTCATTGTTACATTAATTTTCATAATATTTATAAATGTAACTGTTTTTATAAAATATTTTTATTTATAACTAAATTTGCATTTAAATAATTTATATTTTATCATTTGTATAATTTAACGCAAAATAAATAATAAGTTATAAAATTTTTGATTTTATAACTTAATTTTAACAAAAATTTATATTAAAAGATTTAGTTTTTACCTATTTTTTAGATTTTAACATAAAATTAAAAAATTTTAATTTTTAGAATTCATATGAATTTATAAAAATATATATACATACATGAGACAAATCAGTACTTACAAATAAAATTTATTATTTAAAAAATATATAACTAGTATATATAATTATATAACTATATATAAATATATAATTAGATAACAAGAAATAAATGTTCTACACTGATTTGTTGATAAAACTATGTAATACAAGTTTCTAGTTTTCTCCATTTCTAATAAAATATTAATTACTAATTAAATTTTTATTTGTTAAAATTTTATTTATTGCTAAATTAAGTTTTCATTTGTTTACAATGTCTGAAGGTTATTTTAATTTTATCAACTTTATTCTTTGATGAAGAAATTGATATTGGATTATGTTTAAATATTCATAATTCATTTTCAATATGAATTCTTAAAATTTATTATATATTTTTGAATTTTATTATGCTTTTAAATTAAAAATTATTAATACATAAAAAAAAATTGATAAAAAAATTAATGGTTTTTTTAAACTAAATTTCAATAAAATTTTTAATAAGTTTTTAATATTTGATTATATTTTATTTGCAAGTATTTAAGCGGCCTATGTATAAATGTTGCGATAAACATTGATTTAAAATTAGATTGTTAACTTTAAGTTATCTATTCATATATAAATATTCAATATCGTTCGATCATAATTTAAATCTATTTCAATTATTTACAATATGTTTTAACATTTGTAGGTTCCTATATGTATATGCATATATATACATTAAATGTACTGTAAAAATATATTTAAAATTAAAAAAAAGTTAAAAATTTCTTTTAAAAAATTAAAAGAAAAATCAATATAAAATATTTATGTATTTATATATATTTATATACATATTCATTATATATAATTCTATATATATATATATATAGTTAGAAGTCTTTAAAATAAAATAAAGATAGAAAAATTATCTAGATTATATAGATATCTAAATGAAATACAAATGGCGCTGGTCGAGAATCGAAATCGGTAGAAATAAACAACGAATCTTTAAAAACATATTAGCACGTGCTTTTTAATTTTAGTTATAATTTACATATAAAATGATTTCAAATGAAATAGAAGTGGATGAAGACAATGAAAAAGCGAAAACTTTTCATGAATTAGAATTAGACGATAGAATTTTAAAGGTATTTAAATAAATTTTCATTATCATTTAAGAGAGGTTATGTTTCAAAATAAAAATTATTATTTTATTAGAATTAATAAATTGTTTTCTAACTTTTTTATATTGTTATAAAATTAATTTTTTATACAAATTTTTATGTAAACATATTTAATTAAAAAAAATATTTTAGGCTGTTGCAAAATTAGGTTGGTTAGAACCCACATTAATACAAGAAAAAACGATACCGTTAATGATTGAAGGAAAAGATATTTTAATTCGAGCTCGTACAGGATCTGGAAAAACAGCTGCATTTACTATACCACTTATTCAAAAAATATTATCAAATAAACGAATACGAAGACAACAAGAAATTAAAGGTCTTATTATAGCTCCAAGCAAAGAATTATGTAAACAAATACATGATGTCATAATCAGTCTAACAATAAAATGTAGCAGAGAAGTAAAAGCTGTTGATATCAGTCCTCAAATAGATCTTAGTGCGCAGAAACCGCTATTAGCAGAAAAACCTGATATAATTATAAGCACTCCAAGTAGATTATTACAACATTTAAAAGCAAAAAATGTGAAATTAAAGCAGTCACTTGAAACATTAATAATTGATGAAGCTGACTTGGTAAGCAAATTTAATTTAAACATTTTTTTCTATATATGACAATAATTGTATTCTATTTCAGATATTTTCATTTGGACATGAAAATGAAATAAAAGATATATTGAATTATTTACCAATACTATACCAAGCAGTTTTAGCTTCTGCAACATTATCTGAAGATGTGATAACACTTAAAAAATTGGTACTTCGTCATCCTGTGATTTTAAAATTAGAGGAACCTCCATTGGCTCCACTATCACAATTATCACATTATAGTCTTGCAGCAGAAGAAAATGATAAAGCTGCTATTTTATGTGCTTTGTTAAAATTACGTTTAATTAGGTAAATTATATAAATATAATATAATTATATATTATAATTATATATTTAACGTAATTAATAAAAATTATAATTTATTATTTTTATTTATTTCTAGGGGAAAGACTATTATATTTGTAAATACTGTAGATAGATGTTATAAATTAAAATTGTTTTTAGAACAATTTGGAATAGCAACTTGTGTATTAAATTCTGAATTGCCAGCAGTTTCGCGATGTAGAGCAGTTACTCAATTCAATTCTGGAACATATGATATTATAATAGCATCAGATGAAAAATCTTTAGAAGAAGTAAATATTTTGTATCTATATATCATTTACATATTATTGATCTTTTTGTTTTAAATTCATAATTTTACTTATTCATAACTTCTATTTTTTACAGCCACATATAGCAAAAATTAAAAGAGGAAAACGAAAAAAAGACAAAGAATCTGGTGTAGCCCGAGGGATTGACTTTCAATTTGTATCTAATGTATTAAATTTTGACTTTCCTCCAGATATAAATTCTTATATTCATAGAGCTGGACGTACTGCTCGAGGTAAAAATGACGGAACGGTGTTGAGTCTTGTATCAATAAGAGAAAGACCAATTCTTGAAGATGTTGAAGTCGAGTTAAAACAATGTTATAATTGCGATAAATTATTAAAGACATATGAATTTAAATTGGAAGAAGTCGAAGGTTTTCGGTATGTTGCATAAAAATTTGTTATATTTTTATTTTTATCATCGTTTACTTTCAGATATCGAGCGAAAGATGCTTGGAAAGCAGTAACTCGAATTGCTGTTCGTGAAGCTCGTTTAAAAGAATAAAACAAGAAGTACTCAATTGTCAAAAATTAAAAAGTTATTTTGAAGATAATCCAAGAGATTTGCAATCATTGAGACAAGATAAAGCATTACATACTGTAAAATTACAACCACATTTAAAAGATGTACCAGATTATATAATTCCACCAACTTTAAAAAGGCTTGTTAATACTAGCAAGAAAAAGAAAAAGTTTAATAGGGAAACTGCAGCTTCTAAACCTACTGCTACACGATCAAAATATCGAGCTCGTGCATCAAATCCTTTAATGAGTTTACAATTACAAAACTCAAAAAAATGAATATTTTGTATCAATAATAAAATATTTTTTCTAAACTCATTTATTTTATGATATTGTTCATTATAAATAACATTTTATAAGACTTTATAAATTGTAAAAAATTGTAGATGAAAAATTACACACTATTCAAATAATATATAATATAGAATTATTAGAATATAATATTTATTATAATTTATGATTTTTCTGTAGTCCGTTTTGGTTTGTACTTTTGTCTAATACCATCATTGAATCCCTCTCTATTTCTGGCAAGTTCAATGGCATAAAATTGTATTCTAGTTGTGAGTATACTATTTTCTTCTGAATAATCTCCTTCACAATCTGCTCTTAATAATGTACCAAAACTGTAATCTTCAACAAGTCCTTTAAATTGTTCACAAAATGGTCTCCATTTTATCTTTCCTTCGGGTGATTTTAATTCATCTTCATTTATTTTATCTAGTTTAAGGTCAGGGAAAACATCACGAAAAGTTTTATATATTTGTTCATCATGAGGTGTAAGTTTTAAAAATTTCGGATCAACTGAGCATAATATCTAAAATAAAAAATTTTTAATTTAAGATTCTATATATCTTTTCAAATAGTATTAAATCAATTTATTAAAATATTTTTTACATTAAAGTATACTTCAGCATGTTCCATAGCTTTCATTGCCCACATTGCTTCAACAGAGGGCTAAACAAAGAAAATTATAATTATTATCTTAATAAATTTATTTTTTCTTGACTTTATTTGTGACTTACATCATTATCAAATTCTTCTGCAGGTCTAGACAATACACTAGTACCAGCTATCAATTGATCTGCAGTCTTGAAATCATAATAAATAATTTTAGATTAATAAATATATCAATATCAAAATAAACTAGAAATAAACAAAAAGAAATAATAATTAAATATTAAAATACTTTAATGAATTAAAGTTAAGAATTGTTCGTTACAATAATATAATAATTATTAAATAACATACCTTATATTTGAAGTAAAGTTTTTAATTCTTTAATTTCAATCAAATTTGCGGTAATTTTCGGGCGGAAAGATATACATGGTAGGTTAAGGATCATTTTCATATGAAAAAATATATAAAATCATTTATTATACTTACAACATCCCCAATACGAGCCATACTTGCAGTGTCTTAAAAGTAAATTAATACCGATAAATTATCAAATATTGTTTAAAGTATTTATAATAATATAAAACGTTGAAAATCAAAAATCAAATGTATAGTGCACATGTCACGCGGTTAAAATACACGTGCAACAGAATAGGATAACAAGAAAAGGAAAGCAGAACCAATCGTTGGTCTTCTAACAGTTGGCATTTTAATGTTGATAATTTTAATAATATTAGTAGAAATGTTTCGATCTTTCATATATATTTTGTAAAAAGAATAATATTTAAGAAAAATAATCTAATAACTTCGATCGAAATGGTTAGCATAAAAGATAAGGAAATTAATGAAAAAATGTTAAAATTAATAGATGACATTCATTACGGGTGAGAATTGAAAATGATCTAACCTAAGTAGAAATATTTGTAATGTATTATATTTATATTATTTATAATATTTCAGTGATATTAAAGGTATATATAATATCGTAGTTGCTACTGTATTGGCTTTAAAAGAAATTATAAATAATGCAGAATGGACTACTGCAGAGTAATTATATTTTTTTTATTTAATAGAATTTAACATAAATCTAAGAAACACTAATAGAAAGATTATAAATTTCAATAAATATTAGTATTTATTATATTAATATAAATATCATTATATTATTATATAATGAATGTGTAATTGTAATAATTAATAATCAATTATTAAAAAATATATATTTGTATGTAATTAGTAATTGATTATTAAAAATATTTTTTAAAAATAATAAATTTAAATTTTTCTTAAAAATTAAAATATTATATTATAATTATATAATAATAATAATAATAATAATTAGATATTTTATTTGTGTTTCTTTGATATATATAAATTTTACTAAAAATAAGAATACAATAAAAAATAATTATTATTTTATTTAGGAATTTGATGAGTATAATTAGAACAAATGGGAAATATTTAGTAGAAGCTAATCCTCTTGAATTTTCTATTGGAAATATGGTTCGAAGAATATTGCAAATAATTAGAGAAGAATATACTTCTGAATTAAAAAATAAAAATGATGAAACAGATCCACAAGAATCTTTACATAAAATTCTCACTGCTGAAGGTGATCAACAAGTTGATTTCAATATTTCTGTACCTTCTTTAAAGTCAGCTATTATAGAACACATTAATGAATTTGAAGTTGAGTTGGAGACCTGGTTAGTTCTAATAAGAAGTGAAATTACAAAGAGTTCTGTATTATACTATGTTATAATATGTGTTTCAGTGCAGAAAATATTACACAACAAGCTTCTGAACACATTCATTCTAATGAAATTATTATGACAATTGGTACATCAAAATTAGTAGAAGAGTTTTTCAAAAGAGCTGCTGAAACAAGAGCTTTTGAAGTTATAGTAGCTGAAGGGGGACCATCATTAAGTGTATGTTATTTAAATATATATTAAATTAAAAAATTTCTAAATAAATTTATATTTAATTTTCATTTACCTTTTTTAACTAAGTATATTTTTATCATTTGTAGGGCCATGAAATGGCAGTAAATCTTGCAAAGGCAAAAATTAAAACTACTTTAATATCAGATGTAGCAATTTTTGCAATGATGTCACGCGTAAATAAAGTAATAATTGCTACACACACTGTTATGGCAAATGGAGGATTGAGAGCAATTTCGGGTTCACATACAGTTGCTCAAGCTGCAAAACATTATTCTGTCCCAGTGATGGTTTTATTACCATTGTATAAACTTTCTCCGCTATATCTATACTCTCATGAACAAGATGGTTTTAACAAACATGTTTCACCATTGGAAGGTGTAATTGATGGTGCAAATGTAACTTTATTAGAAAGAATTCATGTATATAACCCAGTTTTTGATTATGTGCCACCAGAATTAGTTACATTATTTATTTCAAATACGTAAGATTAATGATTTAAAGATTTTTATTTTTTATATTACTTAATTTCATAAAATCAATATGTAACAATACATTTTTATTTTAGGGGTGGAAATGCACCATCATATATTTACAGATTACTCAGTGAATTGTATCATCCAGATGATTATGAATTATAATAGATAAATATTAAAATATATTTATAATTATATATTAATAATTTAATGTTTTTTTTAAATAACTATCAAAAAACATTTAATCTTTCTAAAGAAATGTTTTTAATAAAAAGAGAAAATAGAAACTATTGATATTTAAAAACAATTTTTCTTGTAGGAATATTTATTTACATATTAAGATATATATATGTGTGTATATATATATATGTATATATATACATATATATATACAAGTAAATATAAATTGTTTTTATAAAAGTTATGCTAATAATCTTATAAATTCGAAATTATTAAATTGATTTAAAAAAAGTAACATACAAAATACTTAAATGTTACTTTACATTTCTGGAATGTATCCACATTTGATGTACTATACATAAGGATTCCAATTGCTTCCATCTTCAGGTTGTAAAGAACCTGTGACTAATAGAATCACATCAAAAATCCACCATACTCCTACTCCTCCTAACGTCAATAGTTTGCCAACAGCAGTACCAGTTTGCCCTAAACAAAATCGATCCATACCCAAAAAACCTAACAGAATACTGTACAATAAAGTAGTAGCAAAATAATGATCACTATATTTTATGCAAGGAACTCCTTCACGATTAAATGTTCTAGGTCCATAACACTCTATATATGGCAACACAGTACATGATACTTTAGTTTTTTCAACATCTTCATATCTGGATCCTCCAAACTAAAAATAAAACGTTTAAAATGTTTAAAAAATTAAAAAAATTGTTTTAATAAAATAATGTGTTTTGATAAAATATTTATATTTATATACAATATTATACCTTTACACAACCAAATCCGGTTTCTTCTTTGGCAGTTTTATTACCTTTGTGATCAATTGGTTCTTCACATTCTATAAATTCTTTTGGCCTGTAAAATGTACATTCATGCTATAAAAATAAATAATTTATTGAAACAGAAAAAAAACAGCAATCTATTCATTACTTAAAATAACTTTTAATCAATAAATGTGATTAAATTTGTGAATACTCACAAAAATTTACACATTACTAATGGACCTTCAGGTCTGTATTCTTGTTGAGAATCCGTGGTATTATTTATTACCATAATTGTTGAACATATTTGTGAATTCCGCAAAAGATAAAGAAGAAATAAAACCGCGTATTGTAACCTCATCTTGCCGAGTCTGACATGTTTAAACGCTTAACTTCTGATATTCAAAGTTTACGAGACATATAGATAGAAAGCATTTTCAATCGTATATAATGTATCGTATACAGTTCATATATAGAAAATGTAGTTGTGTACAGGAATTATTCAATTGGAGGAAGAGTAATTTAACTCCATCGGAATGATCCAATAGAAAGACGCTTCGAATTATAAGAACCAATGACAAAGTATCTTCTGTTATTGCCTAAAGTGACTTTTAAAGACGCGCAGTGATTTCGGAATTACTCGATCGTCCGCTCTAAAAGAATTTAGTTTTGTCAGGAATCAGAGACGTATGTTTCGTGCTCGGTGGAAGGTATACGTAGTGGTTGTAAAAGAGTAAACAAAGTGATCGTGTATCATATATTCTTAATATTTTTAAAGTAATATACTTTGTGGTTTGAAATCTGCGTATATGTACGGAAATATGCGCGAAAGGGAGGAATTTTGCCGAAGTTTTCCACCGGGACAACCAATCCAGGCACCGACGGCACGAGCTCTGGGCCTTGACGCTCTTCACAATCTTTGTAAAGAGATCTATCCGGACCAAAGCAATCCGCTCACTGTCACTGCAGTTGTAAAGTATTGGTAAGAATTCTGCATTTTAATGCGTAGCAACAAAAAGTGATTTCTTAGCGCTAGAATGTGTGAAATTTAAATTGCATGCTTACTGTTTATGTCAGAATGAGAAAAAAAAACATTAGATAAAATAGAAGTACTAATATTTGCACTTTTAATTAATTACACATTTTTATAATTTATTTTTTATATTATACAATTTTGAAAATATTTTAGAAATTATTTACATGCTTATATGTTTTTAAAGTGTGGATTTATTAAAAATTATTGTTTTATTTCTTAATTATTTTTTATCAATTTTAGCTATATATCAATTTTTAATATTTGTATTTTATTAAAAATTAGAAAAATTAAAAAATTATTTGATTTTTAAAATAAAATTAAATAATTAAAATTAAAAATTCATATCAATTTTATTTTACTTCGATTATGTTTAATTAATTTTATCTTATAATTTTTCTGTATAAAATTCTTGTAATATATAATTATATAAAATGGTAAATATGAATAATAATTATTGATATTAAATTTATTAAATGAAAAATAATTATTAATATTTCTTAGAAAGGAATCATTATATTTAATGTTCTTTTTTATTTTTTTTATAGAATTTTTTTATGAATTAAATATTCATATATTTTATAATATAAAAATATCATTATATCATTAAATATTTTAATTATTCGTTGAATATTTATAATTTTTCATAAATAATTCACGTATTTTTTGATGGTAAAATTCTATATCGAAAAGGTGGTTTCTATTAAGTTTAAGTATGGAACTCTTATATAGAAGAAAGAACGACTTATATTTAGCCACCCTTAGTCGTACGTGAATTTAACCGGATGTAAAACCAAATAACTGAGATTTTCTATGCACCTTTGCTTAGGTTGGGAGGTCCGGATCCTCTAGACTATATAAGTATGTACGAAAATTCAGGTTGTCCGGAATTAGGCATACCACCACATTGGCATTATATTAGGTGAGTTTTATCATTTCTGAATATTCTCATCTAATTGTCTATATTTATCTATAAAATAAAATATTCTATATTAAACTTAAAAAATATAAAATACTTAGTAAATCATTATTACAATTGTTTATATAATAATCATTTTTATATTTTTTGTACTTTGAATAAGTTTGTAATATGAATTTTTAATAATGATGTATTAATGATTTCTTACTACGCGATTGAAGTGAAATACTACTTCGCATCATTCATTCAAAAAAAGACGTTTTTTTTTCTGTAGTATGGTGAAGAAGGAAGAATCAGAGTGTTAAAAAAAAACGGGAAGTCGGGTATTCGTCAGTGTCACTGTTGTGTAGTAGGAGTGTGCCTGTTTGATGTGAGCGCATGTTATTTTTCCGACACACCCTTGATGACACGTGTATGCGGCATCCATTTCTGTCATTCGGGAATTTCATTTATCGTTTTGATACATTGATTTGAAATCTAAACATGAACTTCAAAAATATTAGTGGTTTTTTATTACTTTCTCATATATTTCAATAAAAATGTAACATATCTTTTTTGTCATATTATTATGTTGTTTAATTAATCTAAATTATTAAAAGTTATTAAAATATAATATACAACTTGCTATATTTAATAATTCACATTGTGAAAAGATAAATGAATGCTCGTTTCAGGAATTCCTCGTTAAAAACTAGGCGCCGAATGACGAATGGTCTACCGCGAAAGGGTGTTCATTTTTTTTTTCTCATTTTCAATGGGTGACCCTTCCTTCTTCAGTCTGAAGCAGCTGTTCCAATAGTTTCCTCTTTTTCTATATATAGAAAGTATAGGGTACAGGAAGACAAAGTTGTTTGAAGCGCGACGCATCGGAAATAGATACGTGGGTTTTACCTTTTTCTGTCTGTCTTATCTAAATATGTTTCATCATTAACTAAATTTTTTGTAGATTAAAGAGTCTAGAATTATTTTGGTTCCATCAAAAGTCTTTGTTTATCTATTCTATCAAGAATAATCTCAATATTTCAATTATTTATTATCATTTTTTAATTTTAATTTTATTTTAGTTATTTTCTTTTTAGAATAATATCATAATAAAATTTCTTAATTAAAGTTTGGGTTTATCGGATTTACATGGAGATGGACGAATACATCCAAAAAGTGGTCCTGGTCGTGCTAGTGGTTTTGGATTTGAATTAACCTTTAGATTAGTCAGAGAAAGAAATGAAATGACTCCTCCCACTTGGCCAGCGAATGTAATGCAACAATTAGCAAAATATGTTTTTAATTCTGGTAATATGCTGTTGCCGGGAGACCATGTCTCGTGGCATGCACCTCTGGACAATGGCAATGGTCGTATTACACAAATTTTAATGGGCAAAGATCCACAGTTACCAGCATCCATATCTACACCACATGGAGATGTAAGTTCTTTTAATATTAATTTTAAATAAAAATCACCCAATTTTTAAATAATGAAATCAGAATAAAATATTTTTAATGGTCCATGTACAATGTTACAGGTTTCATTTGTTCAAATTGTAGGAGTTACTTCAGAAGAATTACAAGCTGCACAACATTGGAATGGTTTAGGTCTTGTAAATTTATTAAAATCTAGTCGTGGTTGTGGACCATGGTTAGTGACAGACATGAGAAGGATGTATTCTATTATGGAAGATGATCCTTCTATAGCAGAGAAAATACAAACTGGTATAGAAAAAGAGGGTTCTAATTTAAGTGGTGTATCTGCAAAATGTTGGTAAGTATTTTTCATTCATTTATGAAAAATTAAAATATAAAATATTATTATATTAAATATATTATACTCAATTTATAGGTGGGTCCAAGTAAATAGTGATAAGAGTACAGAAAAATATAGAGAGACAAGAAATGAATCGGATGAAGAAGATGAAGATATAAAACCAATAATAAAATCAGAAAGATTGTCTCCTTGTGAACAAGATACAAACTTACCAAACGAAAATTTTATTAAAGTTTTACCAGGTCTTCATTTGACATTTAATCTTGAAGCTGGATCTTTGTTACCATTAGCAATAAAGTAAATATTTTTAATATTATTTCAGTAATATTATTTCAATAATCTTATTAGCAATATATATTAATATATATAAATATGATTTTTTGTATAGAGGTCGAGTCATGCACGGAAGGCATTTTACATTTAAATCAATATTATCTCATACAGCAATTACAATAGTTGCACCTTCAGTTACCGGAACTCTAGTTTCTAGGGAAAAACCATATGTAGTTCAAGGACCATGGTTACAAGTTCTGCTTCCAGAAGATTTATCTGAAAAGATGGCTCAAGAGTTTCAAGTTTTAAATTCACCAAATCAGGTAATTAATAACTATTAATTTAGTAAAATGTATCAAAATATTTTTATATATTTTGTAATTAAAGTTACTTATTTTTTATTTATATTATAGATTCAGTTGCCAAAGACATTTTCTTGGCCCGAACATAAATTGGTTATTACTGTTGTAAATGACTGAAAAAACTAAATTAATACTATTAATATTATTTAAAAATGAGTTAAAACTGAATTAGGATAAATTGACGTAAGCAAAGTATTATCTAATCTCGTTACAAAAGAATTTCGACGAAATTATTTATAATCAAATTGCGTTTTTGCAGTTATCGAACAAGTGATAGATTTATTAGCGAGACTTTATCTATCAATGTGTAAAAGAAGAGATGAACTATTATGAATATATTTTTTTATCCAACAAAAGAAAATAATTTGTAAAGAAAATTTTTTTTATATATCTCTCTTTTACAAATTGATATTTGTTAAAAATTTATATTTAAATATGTATATATAATAGAACACAAATTACAAAGTGTAATTTTGTATTTGATATACGAGTTTACACATTGTTATTTTATACAAAACATTTTTGTAAATAGAGAACTTAACTTTTCTGGCAGCGTTCGTCAGAATTCTGTACCAATTTTTACGAATGAAAAGTGTATGATATAATGATAAATATAAGAAATAATATTTATAAGGAATATATATTTTATTTTTTATAGCTTTCTTGGTATAGATTTTATTCACTGCATGTGTTAGATGTATAATCACTCCTTTTTAAATCTGTGAGATAATAATTTAATTTATTAACATATAAAATTAATTATGTTTTTTTAACAATCTTAATATAACAAAAAAAGTAAGTAAATTTTTCGATATAAAAAAAATTATTTTAATATAATATTTATCAATGCATTCTGCATTAAAATTCATTTAACTTGTTTTTTTTTCTTTTTCTCTAAATCTTTACCTTGTAATTCTTTTATTCTAATCGTCGAGTTCCAGTATAGGATCACCTCGAGGTCGTTTGCCATAACGTCGATTCAACCTTCTCCCTGTTCTTCTTTGTGCTGGACAAATTCCTAGCTCTTCATTCGAATTCGGATTTCCTGGGTTAAGGAACGCAGCTATTCGAGAGTTCTGGGAGATATGTATGACATTGGAACTATCATGTGAATCAATAACAATTTTGATTAGTGTACAATAGACCGTTGTAACGAACGATCCTTTAAGCTTTCAAAGTGTTAAATATTCAAAATTGTATATATATAGTGCAAAATAAATGTATTAATTGCATTCCAATTTTTTCAATAACGTTTTTCGCAAATCTCTAAAATATAAGAGTTTCTTTTTAATTCTTATTAAAATTTAAATATATGATAAAATATATCAAAGTACAAATATATTTTTATTATTGTTAGATAGCTGTATGATAAAGATAAATAATAAGAAATATATAAAAATTACATTATAAATATATTATTTGTAACGAAACTAAGTATTGATACATTATTTTACAATATAAATAATCACAACATGCAATTTGATATTTTGTTTGCAATCTTTTTTTTTTTATCAATCTTTTTAGAGATTTGATAGAAAATGTTGGAGAAATTAGTGTTTCAATATTTTTATGTGGCACTATATATTTGTTAATTAAAGTGAAAAGTCATATACAAAACATGATAATGAAAATGAGAACATTCGATAAACGTGAAAAATGTAATGCATCATCATCAGATAAATATATATTAAAATCTTCAAAATAATTAGAAAACCAATTATTGGAATAATTTTAATGCTTAAATCAAACGTTGAAGTTATAAGGAAATATATATATAATTTTTTAATATATTTTTATTCGATATTTTAGGTTATTAAAATTATAATTAGATCCTCGAAATATTAACAGGAAATATTAAAAAGTAAAAAAATATAAATAAAAATTCTGAAAATGATAATAAAAATTTTTAAATATGTAAAATTCCTACTTTTATTAAATTCTTGGCGACCTTAAATGCCGCGATCCAAAGCAAAACAACAATGCAGGCAGAGGCAAAATCCTCGACTTCTTCGCAAGTGATATTGCTAATGACTCTAACAATCCCTCGAAAGACGTTCACGAATGTTTGCATGGATTCGATGCCTAGGTCCCTTAGAAAACAGATCACCTGGAAAATCAGGTTCATCACCGCTAGTATCAGCTCGAATATCCTTGCCAAGAAATCGAAAATGATGTCGAATAACTTTTCGATGGTCTCCCATAGCCAGCAAGTAATTCGCGAGAAAAACTCGACGAATTCTTGGGTTACATTTGACATACGATTTTTCATTTTTTGAGATAATTCCTATCTCATTTACATAGCTTCTAGCAAATTTCTTTGATTTTCACTGTCACGTTTCACATCGAATCGAATTTTGTTCTTCATGCACTCTCTAAGAATAATAATTCGATTTTGGATAAATTCAGAGAATTTTTATTCTCGTGTTTTTTGTTTTTCTCTTCTCTCTCTCTCTCTCTTTATTTCCTGCAGATTTCGTGACATTTTTTTCAGTGTATATATAGCAAAGATCAATTAAAACAAGCGCCTTTATACTCTTGAATTTACTGTGAACTCGACTTTGTTTGAACTGTAAAGAAAAAATACAAAGTTTGGAGTGAAAATAGAATGTTAGAACTTCTTCTTTAGATATCATTCTTATTTTCTTTTTGTTTAATTTAATTTCGTTATGATGTTATTTAAAATTTGAATTTAGGTTAGTATTAATTTTTTTTTTTTTAATATTTGCAAGTTTGATAGTATATTTATTATATATTATATATTTATTTATATTTATTTTGTTATATTTAAAAATTGAACTGATTTATTTTTTTCATAATTAAAATATATAAATTTCTTTATTAATAATAAGTATTAATAAATTAATAATAAAATAAGAGATTTAAATTAAACGACTATATTTAATTTATAATTAATTACTAATATAAGATTAAATAATATTATTTAATAATAAAACAAAATATTTTTCTAAAAAGTAGAGATCACAAATTTCTAAAAATGTAAATTGTTTCAATTTTAACTTCTTTGTAAAAATAATTTCATAATTTTTCAAAATCGCGAAATTTTTTTTTAAGATAAAGAAACATTATTTTTTTTTTATCTATGTTTAAGAATAAGTATTTCTATATGTGTTATAAATATTTTAGTAAAAAATTATATACACAGATTTATAACTTAAAATGTCTTTTATTGGATATTCTATACAATCTGCAACAATTCCATGAATATATGTAATATATATAACTCGACTGTATTCTTAAGCAAATAACTATAGTCACAATACAGTGACACGTGACTATACATAAATATTAATAAAACAATAATTATATTAAATAATTGTAATTATAATGGCAGTTGTTGCTCTTTCTATTCTGCAAACTATCAAATAGTATCAAATAGTGATTCTGTATATTTTTTTCTTCATAAATAACGCATATATATTTTGGACCTTTAGATTCCTTTTATTATACTAAATTTTCATTTGATATATTGAATAAATGCAATAATTTACAAACGAAAGTAAAAAATGCTTTCGATACTTCACTTACTTAGATAGAGATATTACATTTTCTTTTATCTTTGGTCCACAGCTAAATTGGTCAAGTTACTGATTTAAATTCGAAGTGTTCCTCTTAAATTGTCCCAAAAGTTCTTTTCATTTTTTTACTATTATTTATTTTTTTTAAAACCGTCATAATTTCATTTTTCTAAAATAATGGATCATACTTACGTATTTCAATGATTTTATCATTTATAAAATTTTATATATTTTATATACAAAGTGTCAGAATTATATTTTCCTGAAATATCCACCATTTTAATTTATAATGATGATTTTAGTGTATTTTCACAATAATTTTGACTTACGTATTTGAAATACTCGACATGATTTTCAATGTTGAATTGAAATAATAATTTTTTTATGGATAATAATCATTAATTCATTTCATTATTTTATTTGACGTATTATATATCGTAAAAGAATAATCTAATAAACTTGTAATTTGTTAATTTATTCGAGATAATAATTTTAAATATTATTGAAAGAACCGATTTCTTTTTTATCATCAAATCATTATTTCATTTAACGTGTAATTGTAAAAGAATAATCTATAATCTGATCAATTTATAACTTGTTGATATTAGTTAATAATTTTTGCAAAAGAATTTAAAATATTTAACAATAAAATATCTCTATTTTTAAAAAGTTAGAAAAGAAAAATAAATTAGATTGTCATGATTCAAAATTCAAAATTATTCAAATAATAAAAAGAATTTTTAGGACAATCTAATATTGTACATATAATCGTTTCCTTTATATATATATATACAATAATTGTCTATCGTTTAATTAACACGTGATATTACTTAGTTTACTTTCACGTGATGCAAATTAGTCCGAGAAAAATCGATAGGGTTAAAAGTATGAGTGAAACTGCTTGCCGCGTAGATCCATTGCAGGCGTCTGCATCGTTGCATGATTGTACACAACCTCGAACATATCTAAAAATCGTAATTTAAAGTCAGAACATTAAGTTCTATATATTGTGAATTAGAATTTTTTAATACATTATTAAAAATGAGTTACGTAGTTTGAAATAGAAATTTTGTTAAATCGTTTAATTTTATATTTGGCGATTTGTTCAAGTAACTTTTTAACTGGAAATTAATGAAGTATGCAATTTTAATCCAACTTGAGAAAATCTATTCTCTCGAGCTGAGAATACGTATATTTATACGATAGCGAAAATTTCATTATTGCGACCTATGAAGGTTTATGTGAAGTCTATAATCATTGATTTCGAGAAAAGATTTATATTGCAGATGAATTTGAAATTTGAATATCTTTTTTGAAATATAGTATATGATATGATATATTTAATTATATTTATATAATAGATATATAATTTAATTTTTAATTACAAATATTATATATTAAATATACTGTTATGAAAATTATAAATATTATGCTGGATTCAAATTGTAGCTTTGCTTTATGCTAGATATAATATTTTTTCATAACTTCAAAAAATAGATCACCTAAAATAAATGAAATTCAAAAGTCTGATTTCAATAATAATTCAGAAAATAATAACACTTATACTTATTAATAACAGCTTTTACAAAAAATTTTTTTTCAATTAAAATACTATTCTAATGTTAATTGATGTACTCTGATTATTTAAAAAGATTTAATTATCTAAAAAATTTTACAATGAAGAAAATAAAATGTAATTGAGTTAATGTGACGAATATAATATTAATAATAATATTGCTTAAATTGTTTATTTTTTTCTAGCATTTTTATTTTGCTGCAATTTTATAATTTTTTATTTTGTTTTGAAAACTTATAACAAACAAATTTCAGATATTTATGAAAAATTTAATTTTTATAACTAAAAAAATGAATTAGATAAAAATTTATATTCTTCATATTCTATAAATATAATGCATAGATATTATGCTCTGAATATTTTAAAGATTTTTATAATTTTTTGAATTTTTTATAAATATGTAAACATCCGTAATCTAATAATATTACATTTTTACAGAATTAATTGAAAACAAATCTTTTCGAATAAGCAATTTTTTAAATAATCAATCACGAAGAATCAAATTTATCATGAAATAATTGAAAATTGAACAATTCTCAAATATAGATAGTTTATTAGAAAGCATATCTCATAAGAGAAATGCATTATAAAAATTAATCATTTTTAGATACCTAAAATACAATTCATAGAAACATTTTCAAGTATACTGTAATTTAAATACATATATTAATATAATATAATAATATGTTAATAAATATAATTAAATACATATTGCGTTTGGATAATGAATTATTGCATTATTAATAAAAATATGGATAATTGAAATTCGGATAATCAACGTTCTACCATATCTACAAGTTAACCTATTTCATTAAATTCATGTAATATTACAAAATATTATTTTATAAAAAATATTAAGAAACCGGTTTATTTCATCATACATTTCTCGATACTAAAAAATTCGAAATGCTCTGCAATTGCAATATATATAATTCGTTTTAATTGAAACATGCATTGCCTGAGAAGCAAAGTATTGATTAAAATAAACGTACACAAACGTAGCCACTTATATTTCTTTTTTTCTTTCTTTCTTTCTTTCACAATCTCGTCACAACCTCGCGCCAACTATAATAAGGGTGAATTTCAAACGATGTAGCATTTGCAATTAGCGCCGTGGTACAAAGGAAAGCAAGCTCAAATTACATTTCTTCTCGTATGTCTCTACACTTACTTGTCGTCGAAGTAGAACCCTCCACAATGAGACATTCTTATGATTTCGGAGTCGGTCGTTAGAGTTCCGCTGTCCAGCGCGCAGCTTCTCACCGTCAAAGAGATCCCGGACTCGTCTAGTAAATAACACGTTAATTACAAATATTTATATATATTTTTCTATTTAAAATGTTTCATAGTGCCGCAAAATAGAAAATGTGAAGTTTTATATGAATCGATATTTGTAAATATATTTATTTACTTCTTGTTTTAATTCTGTGGAGGAGAATTTAAAACTTTGTGCAGGTGAAATTTTATATATATCGTTTTTGTGTATTTTTTTTTTAAATTAAAAGTAGTAGTAACATATATTAATTAAACTAATAAAAAATTAACAGTGGCTAAATAATGCAATTAAATCTTAGTTAAAATAAAATAAAATAATTTTAAAATTATTCAAATAAAAATATTTTTCTTGCTTTCTATTTTCGAAATTTTGTAGACATAATTTTTGAAATTTTCTGAAATTATTTCAAACGCAAGTCTGCTTATTATTTTAATATTTTATTTGTTAATACATTTCCAAAAAAATTATATATCTCAATATATAAAAGTTAAACATAGAAATAAAATTCTTTTTTATTATTCATGACTTCCAATAGTGATCAAATTTAAAAATTTTTTATTTATTTTCAACATGTACGCACAACGTTCCTTCCAATATAATTTTAAAGGAAGAAATTTAAATTTAAAATAGAATATAAAAAATTCATCATTGGCATCAAATTCATAATTTACATATTTATGTATTCATTTTAAAATAACAATAAATTTATGGTATAAGACCAAAGAAGAAATATTACAATTAATAATGTAATAAAAATAAGAAAAAGTAGACAAAAGTAGAGAAGAAATATATTGCGCGAAGAATCTGGAAGAAAGGCAATTTCTTTCCACTATTAGAAAATATAATGGAACTTTTACCTTTTTAAAGTACCCCATCTTTATCGTTTTCTAACCACTCTAATCAACAAACACACTATGCGAAATTTCTCGAAATTATTCACAATTTAATTCGTTGATTCTTTCGAGCAATGTATATTAACTTTCCACCGGCGAAACCTCCGTAAACAAGTATAGTAGATACTATACCGGAAAGCATATATAGTGTATTCGTTGAACAGACAGCGGCGAAAGGGGGTTAAGGCCACTCGTTATTACAAAAAGAGGAAAGTTTTACCATATATGCCCGCTATTTTGATGCACGCAGTCGCGGGAAAAAGACCATCGCGCCCTTTGCGACCTCCCAAGCAAGGCGACTCTAAGAAGGCGAGGCTTCCGTTGTTGTGAAACGGATCGTCGCAAGGTTTATTGTCGCCGTCGATCGAGACGCACTTGAAACAATCGATGGCCCGTCCTAATCGAAATCAAAGCAAATTAACCAGAGATCTGAAAAATTTTAACTTCTATTATGAAATCACATTTAATTATATGCTATTATTTGTATAGTTTTATGTAATTGTTTAGAATGCATTATTATTTATTTTTGAAATTAATAAGTTCGTGCGAGCATTGATGACGATATGACGCGAATAGGTTAATAATTATGTTCTTATAATTTATTATTTTAACAATGATATTTTTTTATTTTGATTAATTAAGGAGAAGTAGATTTTTAAAATAGAATACTTCTTTGTTTCTTAACTTTTTTTTGAAATGGTATTAAAACATATAAAAATAATTTTCAAATTCAAGTATTTTTGTAAATATATGAAAAATTATAATTTAAGTAAACTCAATAGATGTATGAATTATAAATATAAGATTTTTAATTTTTGTATTGAAATTTATATTTTCTATGATATTTGGTAAATAGTAAATTTGCTTGTGATTTGAAGCATCGAATATAAAATAATGTTTTCAAATAATATTTGATTTGAATTTTAAATGAAATTTTCAGAAATTTTTTATCCATCAAAGTATTTCGCATTTTAATATTTTTTGATAATTCGTTTGAAAAAAAGGAGTATTTTAGACGAACTTGAAAGATATTGGATCACGCGAGAGTCAAACTTATTAATTTCAATGAGGTTAATTATTTTCTTTTTAAAAATTTTTTACAGTTATAGTTATATAACTAATTAATTCCATTTTTTTTTAAAAATCATACATTTTTTGTGTATAAAATGTAGAATTTTCATCAACTCCACTTTTTTAAAACTTTTTAAATTTTGTTTTAAAATATATGATTTTAAAAAATGGATCGACATATAAGTTTTAAAAAAGCAAATAATTAATTTCGATAAAATTATTCAATTTAATTTTTGCTCAACTCAATATTTCTTAAATTTAATTTAATCACTTATCAAAAATATTAAAGAATGTTTTTTTTTTTTTTTTTTTTTGACTTTTTATTTTCAATTACATGTTAAGATTTTTCTTATAACATTTAAAGCGAGATCGTGTTGAAGCAAGATTGAAAGATGAGAATTTGAATATCGTAGACACGATATTAAAAATTCTAAAATCATTACGCGAGAAACTTGGAGAAAAAGTAATTTAAATAATTTAAATTCGAAAAAATTGTAATTTAGAAAGAATGATTTTTTTTTTGATTTTTTATTTTCAATTATATGCTAAAATTTTTTTTTGCCATATTTTTGAAGATTATGTTGAGATTGAAAGATGAAAATTTGAATGTCGTAGACAGGATATTAAAAATTCTGAAATCATTGCACGAGGAATTTGGAGAAAAAGTAGTACAAGTGAAAGATAATTTAATTCGAGAAAATTGTAATTTAATAATTATGAATTTTAATAGAACGATTCGTATGCTTTAAGATATTAAAAGATTTTACTGCATATTTTATTGTACTTAAAAATTGCAATTTAACAAAATTCTCTAGATAAATGCTCGTCTTATACATTATTTCCAGTAATTCGTTTTTTTTATCAAGAATAAAATTATTTCATTTTCTTTTATATAATATTATTTCATTTCTTTTATATAATTATTCGTATAATTTTTGCGAAAGTAGAAAGTAAAATATTAAGAAAGAATAATATTTACGTTGATTTTCAATAAAAAATTCTATTCAAGCAATTGCAAGCTAATATAATCCAATCCAATTATTCTCGTATCTTAAGAATTTCTTCTTCACATCTTATAATCAATTTTTTCAAATATCAAAAGTTTAAAATATTAGAATTTAGAACGTTACAGTTGAAAATTTTCATCTAAAAGTTATAATTGAAATTTGAGTGAAAATCGTGAAGTATTTTACCGATGATTTTTTCCTCATTCAGAAATCTTCACGTTTCAGATTCTGTCGTGTAGATTTTCCATCTTCGTCTTTTTTAATTTCTCATGGAATTCCTTTGAAAGATAGGAGAACCGTAAATTCAACACATTTTAAAGCTATCCCATTGATTTCGGGATTCTGGTCATTCACCTCAAGATAAGATCACATTGTCTCTTCCACCTCTTCCATGAATTAGGATCACGTACAGAAATTTCAATTTTTTTTACAACAAATTGTTTTTAATTATGTACAATCAATCATCATGCATAATTTAAAACTATTGTGAATAATTTATTATTATTTACATTTATTTGCATCCTTTTGTATTTATCATTAATTATTGCAAAAAAAAAATTTCTTATTATTGCAAAAATAATAAAAAGCTTTTTAGAATATTATAATTAGATATCTTGGCATAAAATATCTTTACTTATTATCTATGCTTTTAAATTAAGTGAAATTAATTAAAAATTTTATAATAATATATTTCTACATAACTTAATACAATATCTTGTATTGGGGATCAAATATATTATATGTATTAAATATTACATTTTTTTTATGAAATCTATAGAACAAAAATAATGGTTAACATCTATATCTATACGTTATTAAGTTTCAATTTTATGAAAAAAAAAAAAAAAGAAGAAGAGAAAAAATATTGAAGATTTTGAATTTACTACACAGTAGTAAATTTGATAGCCAGAGGCTGTATATCTAACACACAATTCTACATAAACTAACATAAAAGGCTTCAACCGTCTTCAAACGAATCTTTAATATCTTGCCTTATTTATTTAGTAGCTACTTAAAAGAGTCTTAGCTATTCACTGTGCCAGATGCGAAGTGTTGAAATATTATACATAATTAGTATTTATTGATTCTTTTTTATTGAAGAACAGAAAGTTAGACTCGTAATTAAATCTCTTTTTTTTTTTCTAAAGCTAAATTCATATCATAGATATGATTGTAAATAATATAGAAAAATTAACATAATTTGTATTTATCTATTCTTAGTACAAAATTTAAGATGCATAGATGCGTTTGATTTCAAATTAAACTCTTTGGAATGAAATAAATCGTTTTAATTCAATAAACTATAATCAATAGATACTTCAATAATAAAATCTACCATTCTTATTTAATTTTTTAATTATCTAATATCTTCAAATATTTACTAATTATTATAAATAAATATTTATGCAAATTTATATCTTATAAACACGATTATGAACATAATTAAGAATGTAAGAATGTAATGATTATTTATGTTAAATATTATATAATTGGAATTGATATGATACTTCAATATATTGAAATATAGATAGATGTCACTAAATTTTTTAAAATCAAAGATTTTTTTTTCAAAATATTCTATTATTAATTATAATTAATAGAAACATATTTTTCGTAAAGAAGGTGTGATATGTAAAATTTAAAATTTATTTTAGCAAGAAATTTATTATTCTATTATTTAATTATTTAAATAGTTAAATAGAGAGAATTACAAATAATATATCATGATATTAAAAAGAATAATATCGAATTAAAAAGAGAATTTATACAATTTTAAATTAATTATATATTATCATATAATTATCAAAATGTTACAATGAACATTTCATACATTTTTCTATCTTTTTGTATTTTAATATATCATTAACTTTGTCGTAATATCTAATGTGCATAAACGATTACGTTTCAAGATAATAATAATATAATAAGAATAATAATAAGAATAATTGAATAATTTGATAAAAAGTTATTGCATGTTTTATTATTTTCAAAAATAAAAAATAATTTAAATTTATTATTTTGACCAATTAGACGATATTAAATAAACATTCATAATCTAAAATATCATCGATAACGTTCTATAATTAATTAGTCTACATTTTTGTTTAAAAAAATGATCTACAATCTGAAATATTATGCTGATAACTATTCTCTGCTAATTAGCCTACATTTTCGTTTAAAAAACTAATCCAAACAACACTCAAAAACTACTCTCTAATTAACTCTACACTAATTAATCTACATTTAAAGTAGTATAGAAAATCTGAAAATTATTTTACGTTAATTATTCTAATTAATAATCTTTGTTTAAAAAATTTGTTTAGTAAATATCGTTTTACGTTAATCAAAACGCTTTCATTTAAAAAATTAATTCACAGTCTAAAATACTTTACAACATCCAAAAATTATTTTACGTTAATTAATCTATTTTCGAAAAATATATAATTATTCAAAATATTAATAATAACTGCTTTTTACTAATCAGTAAAATATATCAGTAAAATATTGTGTAACGTCCAAAAATTATTCTAATTACATTTTTGTTTAATAAAACTAATCCATAATCTATGAAATACAATATTCAAATACTTATCAACAAACTATTCTACACTAATTAATTTATACTCAAAATAATATCCAAAAAAAGAAAATTATTCTAATTAATCATTTTACTATTCCATATTCTACTCTTTTTTTTAAAAAAAAAAAAACTTTTCCACAATCTAAAATACCATACAACACCACTCTGTTCTAATTAATCTAAATTTTAATCTAAAAAAACTGACCTTTCGAAACGAGGATCGCGATCAAACCGAAACAAACGATCCAGAAGAGTCGGGGATCCATCTTTGGCCAAGCGTTGAGCGCTTTTCCCCGGATGTACGATCGCCTGGTTGCCGTCAGCTGCTGAATGCCCGAGGCCTCGAGTCGAGTTCCTCCAGAATTGTCATGTCAGACAGAAGAAAAAAACCGATGTCGAGAGATCAACGTCTTCCTAGACGTGAATCGAATCTGACCGAAAAATCCATATATAAAGAGAATCCTCGAGATATCGTGGTGTTCCTCAACCACGCAACGTGTCCACGTCTCTCGACGGCCAAGTGTGTTTTGTCGGTGGTTACCAAGGCGATGATTTCCAACGTCGTCGATCCGCACCTTTATTCGACACCGATCGATGATCTTCTGCGATGGCTTGGAAAAAGCAGTTTCAGTTTCTCGCTCGTTTTTCCTTCCACGACTCGCTTTTGCCGAATCGACCCAGCCGATATCGTTGGACGCTTCATAGACTGAAACACAGTTGGTAATTGCGTGATTCTGTTTATTCGCGAGCTTTGCACACGCGAATTGTAGGCGCAGTAGACGCGCGTGTATTATGGCGGTTACGTGTGTGGATATCTCACGTGGAAAGGTGTCGACTTGTCGTGGATTTTGGTGCCTCGTTTTAGCAAAATGGACGTTTCAATATTCGTGGGTGGGTGATTCGTGTCGGTGATGGTGATCGGGATGGGGGACGTTCTATGGCTCGTCCAGGTGTGTAGATTCTAATTGGAAACGTGTATTTGCATAATATGTATCGTGGGAAATAATATTAATTGGGAAGGCTGGTTAATGTGATTTTGATTATGTTTTTAGCGAACCGAATTTTGTGGAACAGTTTTGATATTTGATATTTAATTGTAAGTGAAATTTTTTTTAAAACCGTCGTATCGGAAATGCGATAATTTGTTTAAATTTGTGTAGATGAAAATTTTCAAGATTTTTTAAGAAATTTCATTATTATAACATTTTTTTTAAATTATGAATAATTATCATAACAATAGGGTGATTAAAGATTAAGTATAAAAAAGTAGATTGAGTAGACACAAAAACTTAATATAAATTTTTATATAAAATTTTTAAGATTTTAAAATTAATGAAACTTTTTTTTAAATTATCTACGAATAAAATTTTTAAGACTTTTTTAATTTAATAATAATAGTAGAATATTTGTCATAAAAGAAATTTTTACAAAAAAAAAAAGAAATTTAATAAATATTAATTATTAATATTAATTAATAGAAATGTTATTTTGTAATAAGATTTATAATGTTTCTTATTTTATTAAATTTTAATGACATGTAAGAAAATGGTAAAATTAGGGCAGATGTGATATATAAATAATAGAGAATATCTTGTTCATCGCATCGCCAGGCTATTGACTGAGACATAATTCATGCACAGTGATATTAAGTGACTACATAACAAAGTGTCTCAAGGGAAATTTTATTATACATTGTAATACATTTTGATAATAACTTTAAAAAAAAATAGTAAAAATTATTAAATAATTTTCTTTATATATTTTGTTATTATGTATAATGTTTAAACAAATTTTTAATATAAGTATGTAAATTTTAGCATGTTTCAATTTTTAAATTACTAAAAATTATATATACAATATATTATTTATTTGTATAAATTATATATTTGTCAAAATTTTTGATTACCAATTACTTGTGTATAAAAATAATATTGAAATTATTTAGTATAAATATCAAAATTATTGAAATAAATATCTAATTAATCGTCTCTCAATTTACAAATAGAATATAATTATTTATTGTTAGAGATATTCATTGTACTTACTTTATGTGCGACGAGCTGCTTAGAAGCAGTGATATCCCGTAGACGGTCTCGATGAGAAATTATCGGAATCCGTGGAAACGCGGAGATAATAAGGATGAATTCAAAATTCCGCGGGTCGCGCATGCGCATCGGTCCACGGGCCAATCACCTCGTTGCTTCGAAGCGACCGTCCGTCTCTGTCGTAGCGACACTGCGGGTACACGATGTGATAGTATTTTTCGAAAAATGTGTCGATCTTTCGCGCACTCATGCATCCGCTTTTTCACGTGAGCCAGCCGCGATCGCCGTGTGCTTTATCTTGTGCTTGCCATCGCTGTTGGCGTGTGAATAATGGGCCAGTCGTCGAGTAACACCGGACACAGCGGTGAGTGTCGATTTTACATCCGTATTCGTAATTGTGTGTTGTTGGTCGTTCCGACGTTTTTTCGAGTTGCACTGCACGCTTGACATGTGTCAACTGCGAGGGCTCTTGACTTTGCTGCCAGCTCCTGCGCAAGTTTCGTTGACTTTTTCCGTGGCATTGCGTCGTTTGCGACGAGAACCTTCTCGACAGGGCCGTGTTTTCGCCGAAACAACGGTAGTTTCTCTTATAGGATACAATGATCACGTTGCCTTTGAGGTTATGTCAATGGGTACATTGATGTAACACGGCGATCGTAGAATCGCTTTTTGGTTCGTTTATTGTGTTATCGTGTTACATGACATCTTCGTGTTTGGTATTGTTTATTTTTTTATAATACTTCTTTTCGTTGTTTCGATGTTACTGTTTGGCCATCATCGATTGTTGATTTAACTACCGCAGTGGTTGAATCTGCGCAAAACGATCGTTATCGCCATAGCGTTTTTTTTAAATTCAGTTGATCGGTTAAAGTTTTTTCGTTGTAAAAATTCTAAAATTCTATTCATATATGATACAAACGTTTATCGTTTTTTTTTTTTTTTAAATTCGTTCTATTTGCCACTAAATTATCTAAATTTTTACGTTTTATAAATATGGAATCATTCGAAAATAAATCAGAACAATCAACAATTTTTTATTATTGTTAATTATGAATTTTATAATTTTTAAGTTTTGTATTTTCCTATATAATATAAATAATAACAATGTAGAAGCTTTGTTATGTAATTATATATATATATTAATAGTTGTTTAAGTAATTAATCAATATTTTAATTAAAGTAAAATGATGTAGATGGAACTTCGTTAAAAAAAGGAATTGAATGTTTTAAATATAATTATAATTGGATAATGTATGCATTTTCTTAAAATATTTGATTCTCGAAATTGAGATAGAAATATACTTTCTTCTTACCGACAGAACATCCAAATAGATTGTACATAAGTGACATCTGCAGGAAATTCGTAATTTACGTTATCGATAATAAAGGAAGTATTATTTTAGTGAAAAATTTGTTATATTATTTATATTAATCATATAATTGATTAAAAATACTGATTAAAATGATTAATAAATGAAATTTATTAATTTATATGAAAAAGAATTACTATTAAAAATATATATAAAATTATATATAAAAATTAATATAAAAAAAATTATATATAAAATCATATATGTAATATTATATATAAATCATTTCACATTTTTTCATTCAATCCTAACTCCTTCATATCAATTAATTAATTTTCTTATTAATTTAAAATCATTATTTATTAATCACATTTTAATTTAATTTCTTTCATTATAATTTTTTTTAAATTATATATAAAAATTTTGTTAAATACAATGTAAGGTAAGTTTTTGAAGAAATATTTATAAAATATTGAATTATAAAGTTAAAAGAGAGTTAAAAGTGGAAATTTATTTTAAGACAAATAGAAAATAAAAGTTTAGAAAAATATAATATTAATTTTTATGATTTTTAGAAACTGTTTTTTTAATGTTAATTAAAATAATAAAAAAATATATAAAAAACACTAGATAATAAATAACAAAATATATAATATAAAATGATGTATGCAAGAATTGCAAGAAGTTACTAAGTTAATAAAAAATAGAGAAAAACACAATTGGTTTAAAGAAAATTTTCAAATAAATTAAATACAATTTTTCACATTTTATAGTTGCATCAATTGAATTTATAATAATAAAATTTTTAAAAAATGTTTGTAAGATACATATTCTAAAATATTTTAATTATTTAATCAATTTACATTTTTAAATAAATAATTAATTAAAATTAAAAATATATAAATTCATATTATAATATAAATTCATATATGAACTTATATATTTATACAATTTATGTAATTTATATATATTAGATTATTCATAGAAATATATATACAAATATTTTTTTTCTATTTAGTTATAAATTATATATATATATGAAAATAATTGTATATAATATATACATATAAAAATTTTAAAAATATATAAAACATTTGTTTATTTTTCAAATTTTTTGAAAAATTGTAATCTTACAAATTATATAATAATATTTACAAAAAGTTTTAATTTTTCTATATTTCATATATAAAATATTTTCATGCAATAAAGAAAAGATTTATCTAAAATATAATATATCTCTATAAAATTTATTTTCACGATTGATCTGTTTGTACTGTATAGAATATGGTATGATATATAGGAAATTTCCTCGAATTCGAAAACGAAGCCTCAAATGAAATAATTTCACATGAAATAATTTTTTCACATAAAATCATTCCATATTTGATTATATCAAATAATTACATTTATTTATAAGTTTTTGTAATTTATGTGATATTAGAATATACATATAGAAAGAGAAATTATTTTATCTCGATTATAATTATAAATTGTATATATAAAAAAGAATTTAGATACACATATGTTAGAATTGAGATTAAAACAATCGCAAAACTTGATATGTAAAATTATCTATTAAAACTATTTTTTAAATTGTAAACAATTTAAATTTTGCACTATGATGCGAAAGTGAAGAAAATTAGCTTTTCCATCATATTTCGTCTATATAAAATTTAATATAAAATTAAATTACTTATAATTTGAAAAATAAATTACAATGAACACTTTTACATATCAACATTCTACGTTTGTATCAATTTTTGTACACCGTATATACGAACAGAAATTTTAAAAATATATTTCTTTACTCATCATTAATTACATAAAATAATATATTACCAAAAAAACTCACAATTTCGTTCAACGCAAAAACTCATCATTCCATCCACAAATCATCCGTGCAAATATATTAACCTTTGCACATTATATACACATCCTATGGACAGAAGATCTATAAAATATATTTTTGTATTATTTTACTTAATTATTCTTAATTACACAAAACGATCTCCTAAAATTTTCATTTTAAAAACTAATCGTCCAATATCCAAGGAAAACACTTGCACGCAAGAGCGAAAGACGCGACATCTGGAACAATATATCTCACCGACACAATTTACTTTTCATAATCGACCACTAACCAAAGGAATCCAACGCCGCATAAAACTCACCAATCCCCGCGAATCATTCGCGCAAACAGATCATCCGAGCCTTGTTAATTAATCGACAATCGCGAAACGAGACGTTTCCCTTCCGTACAAATATTTTACCAGCTGCGTTTCTTTATCCCGCCGTGAGGGAACACCTTTCGATTTCATTTCGTACGGTGGTGGTGCTCGGTCGGGCTTGCAAGATGGTGTTGTACGTGGTAGCGGACTCGGGCGCAGGTACGCGTATACTTTGGCGTGGGGCACAGATGTTATTGTCATATGGCAGACACACGGCTCTCGGGATTCGTAGCCGTAAAACCGCGACTGCAGGTCCGCACAAATCCTTGGTAAGGTAGCTCTGTAATATTATCTAATCGACGTCACGCGAGTGAACTTAATGGAACGATTCTCGATTTAAACATCGAGACGATTAAAATTAAGCGTGCTTTATGCCTTCTTTTCGTTTTCGTTTTCGTTTTTTTTGTGAATTGAGTTGGATAATTGTACGAAAATCATAGTAATGGTAAAACGACTCGATTTAAGATTAAGGATATTTTATTCTTTTTTTTTGTTCTGTGAATGTTTTTGTGAATTAATTTGGATTTAATATTATGAGAATAATGACTCGTTTTAAATAGACGATTAGGATTAAAAGTGTTTTATGTCTTTTTTTTCTTTTTTTGTGAATTGAGTTGGAGGATAATATGAAAGTTATAGTATTTTCTTTCTTGATATTTACATAGAAAATAAATAGTATAACTTGAGTAATTAATCGAAATAATTTAAGATTATGGATTTTTTTTTTCATTTTGATGAATTAATTTTTTCGAAAATTTTCTTGATATTATTTAAATAATTAAGAATTTTTATTTCTTTTTTTTTTTGTATTGAAATAATTAAGACTTTTTATTTTTTTTTATTTTTTGTTAACTTAAATTAATTTTTTGATAATTTGTATGAATTTTTGGGAATATTAAGTTTTCATACATGAAATGTATTTATAAATATATTTCATAAATATATAAATCCATTTAGAATTTATGTATATAGTAAATGTTATATTAGATAATATTTATTGCATATCAGTTAATATTTACAAATTTACTAGTATTTTTTTTCTTAATTTTTTTTCTTGATATCAACTATTAAAATGATTAAGATTAACAGTTTTTTCCTTCTTCTTTTTTTATTTTTAAAAATTAATTCTTAAAAGTTTGTGTAAATTTATGGAAAATATTATAAGAATTATAGTAATCTTTTTCTTGATATTATACAATTTTCAGATTTTGAATGTATTTATGCAAAAATTAAGATAATTTTCTTTTTTTTTTTTTTTGCATTATGAATTTTTTCCGAATTTTTGAAAAAATTTATTGAATTTTATTCATTTTTGGATTTTATGTTTCTTCTGTATATTTATGAGAATTTTTTATTCATTTCTTCTACATAATCTATATTTATATCTGTAATATTTTTAAAGAAAAATATGAGTGATAATTATTTCACTTGATATCATAAATTTTTTAATTTTTTACATAAATAATTTGAAATACATCGATGATAATTTTTAATTTCTCTTGCATTATTATTTTCTCGAGATTTATAAAAAATACGATTATTTCTTCTATTTTTTATAGCTTTATTTCTTAAAATAATTATTTTTTTTGTTAAATATATAGCAACACACAGCTTTTAACTTTTTTAACTTACGTATTTTTCAGCTAAACAATAAACTTTCGTTTTCCAGGTTAAGTTACGTTTTTATTATTAATAACAAATATGAAAATGTTTATTTATTTACCATTATTAACTATATAAAAAAATGAAATACGTTCCACCATTTTACTATTAGATATCTTTGTTACATATGATATCATGAAGATACCATTCATTTTATTATCTTTTTTCTTCTAATTAAATAGATTCTTTAATTAGATGATTTCATATAAATCAACAGAAACATAATTGCACAACTGTATTGCACAATTTCGTATAGCATCATAAGTGAAAAGAAAATTTATCCTCTAATCTTTCACGTTCACCAAAAAGATCCTCAAATCCCTATTCACTAAAATTCACCACATTCAAACAATTCTCAACAATTCATTCTAACCGTTTAATAATTCGAGATTAAAATCACCACTAAGAAATTACCACTATCATTATACCACTCCATCACAAAATAACCGTAATCAATAAAATTCTCCATGAATTAAAAATCGGTTCGAAAAGAGCGGAAGAAACAGAAAGGAATTTAAATAGGCTTGGGTCGAGCTTGTTGGCATAATCGATATCACCGGTGTGATTAATTAGCAGCGGAAACGTGGCGACGTGGATGAGGTCAAAGGTAAGACTTCCGGGGGAGGGGGGCGAAGGAAAGCCTCGTAGACGATGAAGCGACTGTGGTTCAGGGCAGCGACCCAATTCTCATGTGTATTT